CTGCCTTCGGCTCAGGTCATGATCCCAGGGTCCTGGGATCGAGTCCTGCATCGGGCTCCCTGCTCGGCGGGGAGCCTGCTTCTCCCTCTGCCTCTGCCTCTCTCTCTCTCTGACTTTCATGAATAAATAAATAAAACATTTAAAAAAAATAAAAGTCCTGGTTTCACATTTGAGAAACCCTTTCTGAAGGTTTTGCTGGTTTACTCTGTACTCCCAGGTGCAGAAATTGTTTCCCCACTCCTGAGGCTCAGCCTCTGCCTCAGTTTCCCTACACTTCCCACCCTCTGTAACCTCAGCCTCCTCTGACCTTCTGCATCTTGCAGGCATCATGGAACCAGGTACCGATTACTCCGGGTAGTTTTTGCTATTGTGCACTCATCGATTGGCAAACATTTATCGGACACATTCCCACTCTAAGCCAGGCACTTGGATACAAGCCAGGGTTACAAAGATCAATAGGATACCTTATCAGCCTGCTGGAGCTCACCACTCAAAAAGGGAGACAGATCTGTGAACACATAATTACACTGCAGGCTGCCCGGTCCTCTAATGAGGGACACCAACAATGCTTCCTTTGTCTGAACAAGATTCCTGGCCCATTTCACTCACCAACTCCCTCCCAGTCACCCCAGGCCTCTGCTGAGTCGTCCTACAGAGGGAAGCCTTCCCTGAACCCCAAGCCTGGGTCTGGCATCCTTACCCTGTGCCCCAGGGCCGGCAGAGGTTCTTCCTCCATATGGGCATGGCCTATTCAACTGTGTGTCTTGCCCAGGCACCCAGAAGCTCAGGAGGGCAGGGACCAGGGATATGTGGTCGTATTTGTGTTGTTACTGCCTTGCGAGGGACTTGCCATGTAGTAATTGATGTTGAATTGCTGTAACAGGGCAGAAGGGAGGATGACCAGGCTGGCAGGGGAGGGTGGTGTGGGCTGGGGGAAGAGGTGTGCAAATATTAGGCAGGGAATCCTTGGAGGCCCCGGGAGAGAGGACGTGTTGTTTCGGCGGAGCCTCAAGAAAGGAAAGGGATTTGCTAAGCCTTGCTGTAGACTGAAGGCGTCCTAAGCAAAGGCAGCAGCTGGGCAAAACCACAGAGGCAAGGACATCAGTGAAGGGGTTGCAGGGCATGCCCAGATCATGGGCCCAGAGTACGCAGTGCTTTGGGTGCTCACTGGGAGACGGTCCTCATGTCATTTCATGTGCACGACAGCCCCAAGAGGGACTGGCAATAGCCCCTTTTGGAGAAGGGAGGGCTGAGGCTCAGAGAAGCCATGTGACTGTTGCAAGGTCATCTGACCAACCAGAAGCAGGGCTGAGGCTTCTCCGCTCCATGGTTCCTGTTCCTACTTTGTCCCCTGGGCTGTGTTGCCTCTGGACGACAGCCTAGTTTGGAAACATCCCCGCCCCCCGCCCCTCCCTCGCCCTGGAGGCTTTCAGAGCCGAGAGGGCACACAGGGGCCCTTTCAGCCAGTGTTAAGATCTTGGCTCCTGTTAGGGGGAGATTTGTGTTTCCTGTTTACCTGCTGGATGGTGTTTCAAGAGGCAAGGGCCTGGACTCCCTCTTACATGGAGACTTTGGATGCATCCACCCAGGAACTCGAGGTGAGAGTGGGAAGTCCTAGCAGGGATTGCCCGGGGAGCAAACACATGTGCTTTGGCAGGAACCCAAGGTCCCAGCATCTTGTGACATGTGCCGTTTCCTCCAGCAGCTCTTGCACGTCTTTAGCACAAGGGAGGGAATCCTCCAGAACTGAAACCTTGGCCCCTTGTTGTAGTCTCTGATCTCCCTGCCTCAGGACTCTTAACCTCCAGGTCAACAGGAGACCCAGACTCTTCTCGCTGTCCAAAACACCGGCCCTCAATGCTGGGCCACAGGGCGTACTGGTACGCCTCCCAGCTTTGGCACAGCTGGACCTGGGGGACAATCTCCCTTGTGGTCATTCTTTCCTTGCCTTTTATGAGCACCCGGTCTGAGCCTGGCACTGTTCTAGGCTCTTTCACTTCCTGGGGGCTCTTTGGGCAGGTTACTTAATGTCCCAGGTCTCGAGCTCCTCTGCTGCCAAATGAGGCACCTAATACCTTCCTCGTGGGCTTGAGCGTTGAATGCAGTCACACGGGTAGCTTGCCCCGCACATGCTCGATGCACGTTAGACCCTGCTCTCACCAGCCCGGCAAAGGGAGTGTGACTGTGAGGGAGCAGGGTGGGGGCGCTGACCAGTGCTGCGGAAGTGCTCTGGGCATACATCTGGAGGTGATGCAGCAGGAGTGAAGACGTGGTACCCTGACATTGCACCTTTTCTAGCTCACGTTGGCATCTTAGATAATGTGCGCAGTCACAGCTGACCGTGGTCTGGGGCCAGTGTCGGCCACAGGGTGCTCTCTCCAGAGTGCCCATTTAGCTCGTCTCTGTCCGTGCTCCCCCCCGGCCTTCTCAGGGCCCTCCTCCCCAACAGTCCTCCTCCGCCCCAGCTAGGACTTCTCAGCCCAAGCTACCGGCCACAGTAGCCGCCGGGAGCAGAAGCAGCATCCTGGCTCACGACACTCTCCCATTTCCTTCTGGACCCATGACCAGCCCATCTCCTCCCCGGCCTTTCCCTGCACCCCCACCAGCTAGGGCGACTGCTGTGATTTGTCTTGCCTTTTGGTTTGTCTGTCAGCAGTGGTTCCGAGCTAGTAAATTCCTCTGAGCACCAAGCTGTGCTCCGGGCTCACGACCAGGGCACGTAGGTGGTGTAAAAGGTGGGGCTTGCCCTCGGGAGACTCCAGAAGTTCAGTCCAGGCTGTGACACCCCAGAAAAGTCCCCTGACTTCCATAGGCCTCCTTAAAATTGGGACAAGGGTCCTTGCTTTGTAGAGCTGTGGTGAGGAGTGAACGAGCTGCTTGTCCAGGCCTGACACTGAAGTCTTTGAGGATGACTGTGATCTCTCCACCCGCTTATCAGAGGCTTGTGGACCAACTGCAGTCTTGTCCAAGGTCACCCAAGCGGCCAGAGCTCCCAGACCATTGTTCTTCCCACCTGCACGTTCCCCGGCATCTCCAGCTTTCCAGAAGCAGATTTGTGGGGAGCCCAGAGGGGAAAGACAAGGGAGAGTGTGCGTGAGCCCCTGGGAGATTCGGGGCTGCCCCAGGGCACTGGGTGCTGGGCCTGGGTGGCGTCAGTATGAAGGAGAAGGGCACAGGAGGTAGAAGGGGGTTTCCTGGGCAAATTCCTCCCACTTCGCTTTTGCCAAGGGCCTGCCCTGGCCCTCTGCTCAGAGATGTGGTTGGGGACGAGCCTGGGACTGCGGCACCCTGCTCAGGAAGCCCCGGGGCTCCTGCATTGCAGCCAAACCCAGCCTGGTCCTCCTGTCCAGGCCTGCTGCCTCATGGAGGGGCTCATAGGTGAACGTCTCCAGAGGGGTTTCAGAAAGCGGGGTCCCCTCACCCTAGTTCACGGGCCTCTCGGCTGTAGCCATGAAGCAGTGCCTCAGCCTCCCTGGGGAAATCTCCTCTCGAGCCACAGCTGGAGTGCTTGTGTGGTTTGGGTTTTGTTCTTGGACACGTGACTGCTCAGGCCTCCTCTAAGTCTTTTTGCCTTTGACTGATTCATAGCAGCTGACCCTCAACAGGAGAAAAAGAAACCCAAACCACCTCCCACCCCAGCCTCGCCTCTCTCGAGGTTACGTGGCTTCAGCAAGATTTCCCTGCCGTTTATGGCACGATCAGTGAGCACCAGGACTGAGCTGGCGTGCTTTTAACCAGGGTCTAATTATCCTTCACAACACCCCACGAGGTGCCGGGTCCCCACTTTACCGACGTTCCGAGAAGTTAGGCAACCTGCCCAGGGCCACACAGCTGGTAAATAGCAGAGCCAGGATTCACAGGTGTGTGTGACATCAACACTCACGTCTGAACCGCTCTCTTATCAGCCCCCGGTCTGGGTGGGGTCACCTCCTCCAGCCCCCACCCGCTTCGCCCCCACCACTGGGCTGGGTGGTGGGACGGGGGGCAGCACGGGGTGGGGGCCGGTGGGGGCCCAGTCGAGAGCCACACATCCACCCACACCACTCACTGGGCCCCTCCGCGCCTCATCCGTGAAAAGGGAATAGAGTAGTTCCTTTTTCAGACGGCTTCGAGGCTTACGTGGGTTCTAATTAAAGGGCCCAGCACTTGTAAGAGCTATCTGTGGGTGGTTGCTAGAATTATCCAAACCAGACCTGAACTGGACGCTGCCTCTGTTGAATGTTCAAGAGGAAGGAAGAGGAGCTAAGGGTGGGAGTTGACAGTCCAGTCATGGAGACAGGACCCCAGACAGGGGCTATTGACTAACTCAGAACACCATGATGTCACCGTGCGGCGCATGACGGCCCGTGGCCCTGCCCGTGGAGGCACCGATTCCGAGTCTAGGGGCAGAGTCTCAGGAGGGACCAGGGCTCAGAGGATGGCCTTTGTCAGTTATCCCGATTGCCTTCAACTACCTCGTGTATCAGACTGACCCAAGAGAGGGCGCCTGGGTGGTGCGGTCAGTTAGGCGTCCTACTCTTGGTTTTGGCTCAGATCTGATCTCAGAGTCATGAGATTGAGTGCACTCAGCACAGAGGCTGCTTGAGTTTCTCTGTCCCCACCCCCCCTAAAATAAATAAATAAATCTTAAAAAAAAAAATGACCTGAGAAGATGGTAGAACATGAGGACTCCTGAGCCCTGCCGCTTGATAGAACCAAAGGATCTGCCTTTAGATGAATGCCCCTCTCCCCACCAAAATTCTCATGCAGATGGTCCGTAACCAAAACACCATTCCCAGCAACCCTAAGTCACTGAGCTGAGTGACCAATGATGTTGTTACTTAAGCTGCTGCAAAGAGTTCCCATTCACCCCTTGGGAGTCCCACTGGGTGCTCAGGGTGCCCTCTCTTACTTGCCCCATTCCCCATGGGAAATCAAGCCCGCTCTTACCCCAAACAACCATGCGCCTCCTCCCTTCCCCTCTGGGCTGTGCCCATCAAGACATAAGGCACTCGGATGACGGCAACACCCGAAGTCCCTCAGAGCCTGGACTGTCCTCCCCGGAGCTTGCCCATTATCTTCCTTGGATCCTCACAGCAGCGGTGAGCAGGTGGCCTTTCTACAGATGGGGCCACTGAGGCCCAGAGAAGTCAGAGGATTGCCCAAAGTCCCCGGAAACCCAAGGCAAAACCCGGGCTTGAACTTCTGACTTCTGTCACTGCGGCTTCCCTCTTTCCTCCTCCGCAGGTCTGGAGGCTCTGGGTGAAGCCGGTTGCCCCCGGCGCCAGGCGAGAAGACTGTACCTGAGGTCGTGTGAGCATCTATTCTGTTCTGAGCATAGGCCAGAGAGGATAGTGGGAGACTCACCCATCGGGAGGAGGCCCACTAGGCAGGCCAGGAGTCCGACGGACCATTCCATGTTGTGAGCGTCCGGAGACCCCAGGCTGGCCCCGCGCTCGGCTAGGCCATCAGGGAGAGGCCTCTCTGGCGAGGCTGTGGGTGAAGGCAGGTGAGGGGATGGGCGGTGTGCCCGGGTCTGTGCCCCGACCGGGCTCCAGGCACGGGAGGAACTGGCGAGAGGCAGTCAGGTGGCCTGGGTATGATGCGATAAGGCCCGTGGGGTTTAGTCATGTGGAAAACCAACCGGGGAACCACTGGGATGATTTTCCAGGACAAGAAACAGAGAAGTACACGAGGAAGATGAGGGACCTTTTCCCATGGCTGCTGGTCCCTTTGGAAAACCTGCTGTTCTTATGCTGCCTGCCTTCCCTTCCTCCTCCCCTCCCTCCCCCACCTTTCTCCCTCCCTCCTTCTTTCTTCCCTTCCTTCCCTCTTTTCCCTCCTGCATTTTTAGTGTGCCAATATAGGTTTTTGTTTTTTTGGGGTTTTTTGGGTTTTTTTTTAGAGGGAGAGAGTGTGCACCAGAGGGGGGCGGGCAGAGGCGGGGCTCATGGTGGGGCTCCATCTCACAACCCTGAGACCTGAGCCAAAATCAAAATCAGAGCCACCCAGGTGCCCCCAGCATGGGTTTTCATTTTGATGAAGCTGTCTCACTGTGGCATACAGATTTTGAAGTGGTGATTATTCATGGAAGGATAATTATCTCCAAAACGTAGTCATCATTGACAATGGTTACATTACCAAGTGGCATAAAAGGGAAATAGTAAAATTAGTAAGCAAATCAATCCAGGCAAACATGTCAACATGCTCAGAACATCAAAATGCCAGGTAAAAATATCTACTGCAGGGGCAGAAACTTCGTAGCTGTTGCAAGGAGGTCATCAGAAAGTTGGACAGAAAAGTGGCCAGGAAGGGGGGCTGGCAAAGATGAGCCAATCCGTGGCTAGAGGGAAATATTTTAGGGATAAAGGCTAATCTGTTAGAGAGAAAGACAGAGACAGAGAGAGAGCTCGGCTCTCAAACACAATAGATAAAAAAAAAATAGAAGGTGATTTCTCTCCCATATGTCAGTCCCAAGGTGAGCTGTTTATCTTGGCAGGTGGCTTGCTTCTCCTGGTCATTCTGGGATCCAGGTTCCTCCATACCGTTACACCCTCACCCCCTTCCCCTGTGGCACTATTAATGCCTTTTAAGGCCAAAGGTGGGAATCAGGCTTGATCAAGGGGAAAGACAGAAACTTTAAGTCAGTTGGCTTCTGTTTTTGGTTATCCATGATCCCAAAGTTGTATACATCACATCCACTCCCATCCCAAGGGCCCAAACTTAGTCATAGAACCACACCCACTGCAAGGAGCCCTGGAAGTGAGGTCACTAGCAGGGCGGTCTTGTGGCCAAGTTACAATTTACGACCATGGAAGAAGGGAACAGGTGTTGCTGGGTAGTTACCCGTCTCTGCCACAAATGCTCGCTAGAACTCAAGAAAACTAACCTTTGGAAAAGAATCGACTCCATAAACTCTAAGATGTCATTGAAGGATGCACCCTTATTTTATATAGCACTGAGAGAGAGAGGAGAAAAAAAAAAACCTTTCTACCTTTTTATAATTGTAAGATGCCATTGACTGTAACATGTATCCAGAATTCAGAAACGTGAAAATGTGAAAAAATGAATGAAATATAGTTCCTTTTTAGCTTTTTGGTAATATATTCTCAATAAGAAAAGACTTTTCAGAGGGGCCAGTGTGTCCTCCCATTGCAAGAAGGAGCCATAGGGAAGAGATGCCAGTCCATGGTTAGGCCAGGGTTTTACAGATACTCTTTATCAGGTTAAGGAGGCTTTTCCTTCTACTCCTGGCTTGCTGAGAGTTGTTAGCATGAGTTAGTGTTGGATTTTCTCAAAAACTTTTTCTGCTTTTATTGAGATAATTATGAGATTTTTCCTCTTTAGTGAATTACATTGATCTTTCCTAATTGAACCTGCCTTGTGTTCCTGAGATAAACCACACTTGGTTGTGATGTAGTATCCCTTTTACATATTTCTGGGTTCAATTTGCTAACATTCTGTTGAGGATTGTTTATGTCCGTGAGGGCTACTGATCTGCGGTTTTTGTTTCTTGCAATGTCTGTGTCTGGTTTTGGCATCAGAGTAATGCTGGCCTCATAAAATGAGTCAGGAAATGTGTCCTCCTCTTCTGTTTTCTGAAAGAGATTATGAATTGGTATGACATCCTCATGAAATATTTGGTAGGATTCCCCACTTAAACCAAATCATCTGTGCCTAGAGTTTTCTGTTGGTTGGAAGGTTTAAAACTATGAATTTAATCTTTTTGATAGAGTACTATTCAGATTATCTATTTCTTCTAGAGTAAGTTTTGGTAGGTCATGTATTTCAAGGAAATGGTCCATTTCATCCAAGTTGTTGAATTTATGGGCACAGAATTGTTCATAATATTCCCTTACTGTCTTTTTTTTTTTTTTTAAGATTTTATTTATTTATTTG